GAGGAGGAGGAGGAGGAACATCAGGCTGCATGGGGGCTTCATCCTCTGCTGTCGCCTCTAGCAGCTCCTCGTCAGTGGGGTCACTGACCGCGGTGGTGGTGGAGGAGGAGATGGCAGGACACTCCTGTTCACCGGAGGCTGTAGGACATGAAACATGTTTCAGTACCAGACTAAAGTGTTCTCTGCAGTTCACAATCCCATCACAAACATCTGATGAAGAAGAGATGAAGCAGCAGCTACCCAGAGCTATGGATTTAATTTAATCAAATTAAATCATTTAATTAAAGAGTAACTTACCCCAAAAGTAACCTTTTTTAGCTGATAAACTGCCTAGAATGTGTCTAAAATTTTATATAGTACTGTTTCTGTTCTAATTTTGATGTTTTTGTGCGTATTTGTTCAAATCTGTAATATTTGGTCTAAAACGTCTTTTTGCTGCTCATATGGGTAGAGCAGTGGTACTGCAGGCTAATTTGCATATTGGTTGACGGCTCTCCTCTGTGACGTGGTTCTGCACAGTTTCGTCACAGCGGCTGTGTTCTGGTATAAAAGCCTCTCTCTAAGACACGCCCCTGCAGCAGTCAGAGGGTGGAGCTGTTAGCAAGCTTAGCATGATCGTCTGTTGACCTTCAGCCTCGGGTGGGGAGAGCTGACTGCTGCGCTTCTCTCTCTGTCTCTCTCTCCACACACACACACACACACATACACACACCAGCAGCAGTACGTCCTGCACAGCGGGGTGGGGGGCAGAAACACAGCGGGGCAGCTGCAATCCTAATGGACCAAACTTCAGTCAAACAAGACCAAACACTTTTATTCCTGATTTAAGCTAGTGATCTTGAGAGCAGCTGCAGCTGTATGCTTTTATTTTTTTCTGTCATGCTGTCGCGAAGCGCTCCTCCTCCTCTGTCTGGTGCTGGTGTGGTGTGAGGCGGACAGCTCAGCCGAGGCTGCGGGAGCTTCATGTCCTGATCGAGGGAGCCAACATGAGTCAGTCCCAGACTGAGCTGACTTGATCAAGTCTCTCTCTGCCTCTGGTGAGGAGGGGGTGAAAAATCCTCCAGCTCAGACCGTTTAGAGATGTAACTATCTGAGATACTCTGGTCACTCTCCATGTAGCATCAATTATGCTAATGCTAGCTGCCTGTCACGTTCTCTCGTCCTGGCCACACCTCCGCTTTCTCCCCCCCCCACACACACACACACACCCCACCCACTTTGATGCATTTTTCAAATTTCGCCTTGGGGCGGAGTTATCTTTTCACAGGGCGGTAAGCTACGCTTTAAAGTGTATCTTACACTTTAAATTAGATACACTTTAAAGTGTATCTTACCCCCTTGTGAAAAACTCCACCCCAAGGCGAAATTTGAAAAATGCATAAAAGTGGGTTGGGGAGTGGGGTGTGGGTGGGGAAGGGGGTTAAGAGAGCGGAGGTGTGGCCAGGACAAGAGAACGCGACAGGCAGCTAGCATTAGCATAATTGATGCTACATGGAGAGTGACCATAGTATCGCAGACAGTTACATCTCTGAACGTCTGAGGTGGAGGATTTTCACCCCACACCAGCCTCGGACAGAGGAGGTGGAACGCTCTGACAGCCTGACAGAAAAAAATAAAAGCATACAGCTGCAGCTGCTCACAAGATCACTAGTTTAAATCAGGAATAAAAGTKTTGGGTCTTGTTTGACTGAAGTTCAGTCCGGATCGCATACATTTCAACCTCTTCGGATGTTTAYCTGTATAAAGAGCCCTAAAAATCCATAAATTTTGCAAAAAGTCCATACAACTCGCACCCGCGCGGGTGTGGGGGAGTCAGCTGTGGACATGAAAGCTCCTGCTGCGAAGCAGGAGGAAAGGAGAGAGGAAAAAGTAACTTATTTCTAGCGACAGAACAGGTTGGAAGATGGCTGTTTGATGTTATTTATTGTTTTTTAAATCATCCTATAGGCACTGACATGTTAGGTAAATTTGAAAATGAGGTTTTTAAAATATCCGTAAGACTTGAAAAAATCAGTGAGATTGCTCTATACGTCCGTATACCTGCAAAATGATGTCAAATCTTTATAACTTACAGACAATCTGTACAAGATGACATGTGTGGGTTCAGGCTGAAGCTGCCTTTCTTTCACCACCTCCCCTCCCGCTGTGCAGGAC